TACAGCTTATTGTAAGACAGCTTGTCTCGTCTTTTACATGTTAAAACCAATAATTTCAATTTAGATTTAGCTGCTTCTGTTTAAACCGTCAATTAAAAAATTATAAATCGTGAAACAAAAACTATTTCTACGATAGTTAGAAGCACAAATTAGGTAAAGAATGTCCCCTTCTCCCATTTTATATTACATAACATCGAAATTTTTTCATGATACTAAATGATAAAAAAATTCAAAAATTGGTTAGCTACTATACATTTAAAAGAATTAACGTTATTCTTTGGTTCGAAATGTAATGTTATCCTTTCCTGATACAAAATTAGTAGTACCTTCCAGAAATTGGCTTGCTACCATGCATCTAAAAGAATTAACGTTATTTTTTCCTACGAAATATAACATTATTGTTTCATGATACAAAATTATTAGTACCTTCCAGAAATTGCTTAGCTGCAAAGCACCTAAAGAATTAATGTTATTTTCATACATACTTTTACATTCTTGAAGGGGGCCTCTTTTGTTGACTTTCCCTAAACAAGTGTCTGATTTGAACCTCATTAACCTTTATTCTCCCCCATTTCAGGAATTTCCCCCAATTTCCTGTATTCACCTGACTCATCTGGGTTTCTGTTTCTTCCCATATCATCAGTTGAGGGGTTAGTTTGTGGTCTTTTTGTTAGATAACCTTTCGACCTAAAGGAGGAGTCGAGTTTACAAAGATGCCTATTTCTTGTCAAGTGTTTGTGGATAAATGACCAAGTGAATGGATACTTTAAAGACATTTTAGTATGTGGTGTGCCACACAAGCCTGGGTGGTTTCATATTGGAATGTCCTTGTTAAAAAGTTTTGGAACTTTCGAACTTTCAATGATCTTTATCTGTTAAGAAAAAAGGCTTTTACTTTTCAAAATCTGCAGTATGTGTTTGCACTATTTTTATTATTTTTATGATGTTTTTAAAATGTGCGATCACGAAGCTTTATAGAAAAAACAAGTGTTTTAGAATCAAGCCTATCCTGAACAAAATGTCTCAAACTATATAATATCGAGTATTTTATTTTATATTATAACCTTTGTTTGAGCGTACGACTACCAAAGTGCAACTCCGTAGTCTTGCAATTTTATCACCAATCTAGAAGGGAACTCCTGGATCAAGCATTGGGATAAACTAGTTTTCGTGGAGGACTTTTAGATGGAACTAACCCGCAATTGCGTTACATAGAGGGGAAAACTACGAAAATCTTCCACTGTTAGCCCGACGGCAAGGGGATTCTAACCCATGATACGTCTATCACTGATGAAATTTTATGTCGGCTCCGTGGTCTGTACAAACCCGGAGCAAAATTCTTATTTTAATTTATTGCTTAGTTATCGCTGGGATTCGAACCTGGGTAACCTTATTGGCAGGCGAACGATCATCGTACTCTCCGGGCAAAGCTGGAGCACGATTAAACCTATAGGTGTACGAACGGAATAAATTAATGCTGGGAAGTTGAAGGGTGAGGACATAAGAGGGCTTCATTCCTCAGCCCCATGTCTGTTAGATATTTGTTTTGTGTATCATTCATGGTGCGTAGCGTTTCTAAAAAGTGCTTAAAGGTGCGTATTTTTTATTTTCGTTTAAAAGCCCTTAAAGGTGCTTTTTTCATTGGGTGGTTTTTAAAAGTGCTTGATTTTCCCTTTCTGGAAATGAGATTTTTTTTACCTTGTCGATTTTCGCCACGTATTATGCAAAAGCGTGCTTTCCACATTGTTCTATTCAACATTTTTACAATTCATTCAACCACAATCCATTTCGGCGTACCATAGCGTAAGAAAGCGCCATTCATTTTACATGTTTGATGAAATACTTGCAAGTCCGCATGTGCGTCTACTCTACTGAGCTGGGTTTGAAGAATATAATTGCACTCTCATGTGCAACTCTGCTGCATTTTGCTAGGTATTCTCATTTTCAGGCTCCATTTCCCCCTCTCTGATATCAAACCGAAAAATATCTTGATCACTTTATAATGGCTAATATAAATAAAAAAAAAAGTTCTTTGTCAGAAACTAGTTATTTAATCATGATCATGTAAAGTCTTAGAAAACTATTTTGCATTTTGTTAATGTGTATTGTGCTTAAAAATATTTTTTAAGTGTTTAAAACGTACTTAAAAGGTGCTTATTTTCTGTTGAAAGATTTGGCTACGCACCCTGATTGTTTTAGTTTATTATTAAGTAGTTTTTTAATTATGTGCTTTCAGTGTCAATTTTTTTGCGATTACCATTTCCCAAAATTGTTTCTTCATAACGATTATAGATTTGCATATTTCCAGAAATTATCCCAAACAATTGATATACCATTTCAAATGATTCAATTCATTCTTCCTCTTAAAATGCAAAAATTTTGCTACATAATTTATTGCAATATGGTATTGTAATTTAGTGAACCGGACATCCTTATTTGATGTAAGGTGTCCATAGGGGAAATTTAATTTCGTCTTAACCATCTTCCGCTTACAAAAGCGATCAGCTAAGTGTTGATTTCCATGGTACCTAATCAAGACCATCTGTGGGAAAGCATTTTCTCAATCCTTTTGTGATTTCCTTCATATGATGTATCACAACACGTGTTGAAACAGTACAAATCCAGGATGTTTGTTATCACGGGTGCGAATGATCCATCATTTTTTTTTTTAATTATCGGCTATAAGATAACTTAGTGAGGTTATAATTTTACTTCCCTTTGAACTGACACTATATATCTCTGTTGAAAATGTAATTTTCGTAGAATTAAATATTTTCATTTATAATTAAAAAACTTCAATTTTTTAGTAAGTTAGTTTTTTTTAATAATAGACGTACAATTTAAGGGATTTATTATTAATGTATAGTGTGCAAAGAAAAATGAAGAAATAAAAAGATTACCCTGTATAACTTTAAATACCCTGGATAACGCTAATTAAGTTGCATATGTAAAATTCGATTTCTCAGGAACTATTCGATCGATTTCGGTTAAATTTTCGATTTTGACATATAAAATTACATTCTTTAAAGTGATGCAAAAAGTTGTACACTTTACAATTCAGAAATTTTTTTCGATTATTATTTAATAAACAATGATAAATTATGACTTAAAGTTATTTTTTGCATGGAATTATCTTTGGGTAAACGAATTTTGTAATTCTGTGCAAAAATATTTCAATTGGCTTAAAAAGTTCTCGGGATATGGCAAAATACGCAAAAAGTAAAATTAACATAAAGGTGTCCAAACTTTTGATCGTTTTCCTGATCAAACTATGGGGGCCATATTTCCTAGATTGCGGCTATGAAGGACCAGAAATTTGAATATGTCGAAAGTATTTCTATTCGAAGTGTTTCCGTTTTTGTGTCTGATTTCGCAACTTCAAAGATCGTCTGCACTAATTAATTAGCATTCCTGTAGTTATCCTCTCTCATCATTAAGATTGAGTCCTAGATTGTAAAAATCCGATCATTAGATCAAAAGTTATTCAGGGTATTAAAAAGTTATTCTTTTTGTAGCGCATTATACTATGCAACAGCGAATAATGAAAAAAAAAAAAAACATTAATGAGGGGGCATATTTACTTACAACTCAACTCATTCTTAGTATTGTTTCCCGATACATATTTTGCAAGTGTTCGAAATTTCTATTTTACAACTGCTCAATATACAGAAACATTTTATTGCCTAAGCAGAAATCTTTGTGTTTTTCACCAAGCCGCAGTTTCCTGCTTAATTTGAAATTTTGTTTTATCATACCATCCTAATTAAGAATTATATTTATTCAAAAATTTAAAGCGTTATTTTAAAATTATTTCCTGGAAAATGAAGTTTTTGTGGAAAAATTCATTCCGGACATTTTTGAATTAAAAATTTTCAATTAAAATCTAACATCTTGGTCGATTTGGTAATTTTAAATAAATTAATCAGAATCAAATTGAATTTCTTAAGAAGGAATTTTTTTCCCAACGGATTATTATTTCTTTCGTTTATAATTTAATAATGCAAAAAATTAAAGCACAGTTTATAGTTTATTTTCTTAAATTTTTTTTATACAAAATTATTTTACATTTTTTGATCAGTAGAAATTTATACGATTTTTAATATTTACAAGTGCCCTTTTACCATTTTCTTCTAATATAAAAATCATTAATTAAGTTCATTATTTTTTGTAACTGCTTTTGTTATTTAAAGTCATTGTAATTATTATTTTATAGGATTGTAAGTTAAATATTTTACTTGTAATAAACAGTTGATTTTTAAGTCTAGAATGTGCATGTATATTTATTTATTATTTTATAGAAATTTAATATTTTAATTAAAAGCGATTTAAGACATCATAAGTAATGTTATGGTTATTTTGATGTGATATAAATTTTTTTGGCAACAAGTAATCTAGATTTTAAGGCAAGCAGAGGTTTATTCATTTTTATAAAATTATATTTTAAATCGTCTTAATTTTTAAACTTGGTCAGAAATAGACATTACACTGACGAGTTAGGGGTCCGCATTTTTACCCGTGGATGATGCTCCATTTGTTGCAGATTCATTCTAATCTATATACAACCCTGAAAATGGAAATGAGCAGTATTGATGGCTGCAACTGAAGAGGCTTTCACAGCGAAACAGCAGTGAGGAATATTCGTCGACAAAGAAGGATTATATCATCCTTTTCAAGCTGTTACGACTGTTTCCTGTTTTGCAAGAACGAACAGAAATTAAAATAACATTTCGATCCAAAACAACCCCATCCGTCGAATTAAAGGGAAATAATCCCTTGGACAACACACCCTGTCGTGTAGCAGCACGTGGCATGAGTCATTTTTATAGCCCCTGTTTTCTGTGTGCGCCCCAAGGAGATGCAGAAGAGGGGGTGGTAGACCATAAACTAATCAACGCCCCACACATATCTGATGACTGACTTTCCAACTGGGAAGAAGAGAGACAGGGGGAAAGCGCGATGGGTGGCCCTTCGGTGGAAGACAAGGAATTCTTTTTTATTTTATTTTTCCCAGATGGCGTTGCTGTAGCTGGAATGTTTGCTGCTGACTGGTTTGTTCCACAGTTGCAGTTCTGTCTGTAGAGTCGGTGTGGACGGTGCAAGGACCTGATGAAGTATCGCAGGTAGCAGTGGCGTTTGTGTCTGTTTTAGTTGTAGGTTTTTAGTTCTTGTGTGTTGTGCTGTGTGTCTTATGTGACGCTATGTGTAAATTTCGGATTTTATCACTCTGGATATGTGTTATCATTAAGGATATTCTGTTGTGTTTGTGTGAGAGTCGCTTTGGATATCAAGACAACAAAGGTGAGTTCGATTTTTATATCCCTACTTTCATTTGATCGCGAATGAAAGCTGCTGCGGGCCCTGAGGTGAAAATACTCGCAATGGTTTATTTCTCGTTCGTTTTCTACCTTTTTCTATTCCCTTTTTATCTTTGTTGAGCATTGGATTCCTCTAATATTTTGAGCATTGGTTTTATATTTTAGACTCTAAACGAATTGTGTCATATTACCTGTACTCAAAATTTATGTAGATATTTTTTCGATATTTATGTAAGATATTAGTCGATTTGTCGCCGTATTATAAGTTTTACATTTCTTTATCTAATTAATTCTTGTCTCTAATTAATATTAATTAGTTTGCAGCAATCTAGTTCTTTCCTTATGTCAATTTGTTGTTAATTTTTACAAAAACGATAATAAATAATAATTTTTTTTCCTCTCCAGATACGTAATGGTGGTAGTGGTTATTAAAATATTACTTCGCAAATACGAATTATTAGTTAATTACATTATTGAGTAGGCTTTATTTACCTTATATAATATTTCATTTGTTATACAAGTCTTTACAATGTAGATTTGGAATTTATAATTATTGATATTCGAACAATTATTTTCCAGCATTAATACTTTTTTAATACTTTCATTTCTGAGGTATTTCCCCTGAGTTTTTATTCTCTCGAATTGATTTGTTGATTAAAAGGTCTCGTTTTCATTGATTACAGTACTATGCACCTCTGCTGGAATCATACCTTGTATTATAATCACATTATAATCCTTAACATTATTTTCTTAACATTTATTTCTTAACGTTATTTTAACAGTTTGGACTAATGTTTAGAGTTTTTTTAAATTTTTATTCTAATCTAACCTTATTGATTTATTACTCTTCTGCTAGTAGGGTTTTGTTTATGTGGCTGATTCTATATTTCTAGCATTCTAACTTTAATATTTAGACATGCTGGAAGCGTGTTTGACCAGCTACGCATTTTTGCAGTTAGTAACTCTTAAGAATAATAGTTTAAACGCAATTTTCTTTTCTTTTAGTATAATTACATTTTAACAAAAGAAATTGAAACCATCGCCCGTTCTTTGTCCTTAATTACTATATATATATTCTAAATATTCATCACATCATTTCATTCTCACATCGAGTTATAAGATATTTGTCACCGATTCAGTTTTGTATTACGGCGCGACGGATATGTTCTTTACTTCAAGATTTTTTGACAGGTGGTGTTGAACACTCGCTGCAGGGTTTCCGCTACGGTAGCTTTTTTCGCAAAATGCGAAAAGACCCCTCAAAAATGCTAAAATTCAACAAAGCATTTTCGCATTTTTGCTAAAGGATTTTACTAAATTCCATTAAAAAAAAGCTTAGTAGAAGATTAATATTGAGGGTCCTGAAAATGCATTTAACTTTCAAGAAGCATTTGTAAAATGGGCAAACATGAAAGAAAGGAAGATTGTTAATTATAAACCAAAATGTTTTGATAAATAATAAATGTGTTTTTTTTGTTATAGGTATTCTTTTTGATATTCTTGTACATTAAGCTATATTCTTTGTCAGATAACTTACAGTACTTGTTTGATATAAAGTAATTTTATAAGCCTAATGGCATTTTAGCATTTTGCTAAAACTTTTTTTCAGATTTTAGCTTTTTTGCTAATGAATTTTTAGACTCAGCTTAAACCCTGACTCGCTGTCATTCTTATTAAAATATTCTGATTATGAGTATTCGTTCTAAACTAGAATGTTTTTTTAATGGATTTTCTCGATTTTTTATTTTTGATCAATATTTTATGACTTGTTACCTTAGAGGGAATGGATAAAATTTCATTCGTGATCATCAAAGAATTTTGCAGCGATTACAGTTTATAATTCTTTATCGTTTTATTTGTTGTTTTTTCATTAATGATGACTAAAATTTGTCATGTTTTTCGAATTATCCTATCAGTTAAAAACTCTTAATTTGATTTTTGCAATGAAAATGTATCGAAACTTGTCGGTGTCAAGACTCTAAAATTAAATGGAAATAAGATCCTTTTTAATTATAATCAATTTGAGATAGATTTTCGTCTGTAAATGTATCATTGCTGGAGATCTTTATGTGCACATCAGGTAGATGATGATGAAAATTTATTAAGATTTAAGGGTTTTTCATAAGATCAAGTTTTGAAACGGAGTAATTTTGTCTTTAGATAACATAAATTCAAGAACATTTATATCCGGAATGATTTTGTCAAGAAGAACAGTTTTCCTGTACTGACTTAATATTCATTCATGTTAAAAAGGAAATGACTTAGTGCGTTAGTGATCTTGATCATTTCATACTTTATGTTAGAAGGTCCTTAACGTAAATGGCCAAGTCAGATGAATAATGTTAGTGTTCTTATCGTTCTATACTTTATGTTAGAATTTTATTGCATATTATGTTCCTTATTCATGGTCCTTAACGTGAATGACTTAGTAAAAGGACTTAGTGAGGGTTATTCTTGTTTATTATTCCATAATTCAGGTTAAATTTTTTGTGCATATTATTATTATGTTCTTTACTCCTGGTCCTTAACGTACTGTTTTCCTTTTAACTAATTGTGTATCGTCACCCAAGCTTTTATCTTCTTTTTTTTTCTGGATGATTTGTTAAATTCTTCTTACCTTCCAAAATAAACAACTCTAACTATTAATTGTTTTCTTTTCTTTTTCTTTATATATTTTGTTCGAGATAGCAATACGCTTGACAGATTTCTGATTTGTAAATCACCCTGCCTATCTCGAAGACCCATCATTCCGTCATGTGGCCAATACGATACATTTATGCAAATGTAACATTAGTTTTTTTCCATCTCATCTCAATCTTTCATTTCGTTTAATTAAGAGTATGTTGACTGAAGCTGCTTGAAAAAACCAATGGGGCAGTCAACTCTTATCTTACTTTTCACTTCATTTGTCAAACCGTCATGGCAGATGGGCGCCCGACTTGTCAACTATCATGTTTTTAATTCCATGTAAATAAATGGGAATGTTTTCAGTCAAATCAGAATGGATTACTATCTTGTTGAAAAAAAGGGATATCCGATATCCTTATTTACAACTCCGGAAACTTGTATTATATTTACAAAGTATATAATTATTCTTTTCTTATCGATTGAAGATTTAAGTGCTAATCACTGTGTTGATTGATTGGTTTAGATGATTTTATGGAACGGTCAGACCTTCTATTTTCATTTTTAACTATTAAACTTGTATTTTTAAGACACATACTCCCCCTCATTTAACAAATACGAAAATAAAAATTATTAAAGTAAATAAACTGATTGTGTGCATATAAACGCAATAGGTGTTATTTATGTTTTATTATTTTATTTATATTTTTAAAAAAGCATGTGCAATTATTTTGCTATCCGTCTAGGATTTAATTGCTAATCACGGTGTTGATTGATCGAGTTGGATCATTTCCAGAGCTGACATATAATACTTGATATTCTTATTTTAAATTTTAACTATCCTATTAAAATTTTTGAGGCAGGCCCATTATTTACTCCATTTCGAGATAAAACAAAATGTTTTGTGGCCTTTTGTAGTTTTTTTTTTTTTTAAAGTTTTAAATACATAATTTTACTTTTCCTATGGGTTACTGAGTTGATTGATCGAGATTGACCATTTTATTAGGCTGGCTTATGCTTCGATTATACTTGTTTTAGTTTTTTAGTATTCAAATTGTTATTTAAAGTAAAGTACATTAATTTCTCCATTTCAACAAAAACAAACCACTCTGTGTGTTTATAAACAAGGTGTGTGAGGTTTTTCTTCTTTTTATATATTTTTCTACTTTGTCAAGATTTAATTGCCGATCATTGTGTTTATTGATTGAGTTCTTTCATTTTCATGCATTTCATTATAATAGTTATAAAAAAAAATATTTAAGCCGGCATTATTCTTATGCTTGTTTTAATTTTTAACTATAAACCATCAAGATTGTATTTTTGAGACCATCGTATTACTTTTATTTTATGGAAGAACTAATCGCTTTGTGTGCTTATAAACGCTCTAGAGATGCATGGTGTTTTTTTCCCCCCTTTCTTTTTTTCTTAAAATTCTTTTTTATGTCAATTGTTAATGACTTATTCCGATTGAAACCAATAGCAAATTGTAAACGAAGAAGAAAACTATGAAAAATACAAAAAAAATAAAATATAATAATGACAACCAAAGCCATCGTATTCAGAGGGTACCAGCCCCAGAAGTCATAAAAATAGTTCAAAACCTATTCTACAGAGAGAGCAAGAACAAAGTCTAAAATGTCCTTTGAAATTGTAGTTTTAAGCTGTTTTTTAACATGAATCTGATTTTTCTTTATTCTAATTCAGTTGGGACATTTTATTGATCTGATGTATGTTTTTATTATTTATTGTTACTTGTTTTAAAATTAGAGCATTCCATTAAAATTGTACTTTTCGGTTAAGCAAACATAAAAAACTTTTTTTACACATAATGTAATTTTGAGGTTTGTATATTCCTTCCTTTATTGTAATGTGTGCTTTACATGAAAAATAGACCACGTTGTGTGCTCAACGCAATGGCACTTGTGGTGTTTTCTTTAGAACTTATGTTCCTAGTTTTGTTTGCCTTTTCTTCGTTTATCCCCGTTATCATGTGTCTACAGGTTTTTGGGGTGACTAAACTGTAAATAAATGGGATATGTAAAAGAAAAGATTCCGCCGCTTTGCTTAAAAGCATAATCTTATTGTTTAAATGCATAATCTGATAAGGGAAATTCTTTTCTTCTATTTTTTGAATTTTGTTTTTCCTCTGGTTATAGTAATTACGTTCCGAGTTATTTTGCCTGTTTCTTCATTTGTTACAAAAAATGTTGCTTATAAGAAGGGTGGAGGTTAGGCTATAAAGTTACGCCCCCTACCCAATTACAATAAAAAGGAAGGGAAAAAAAAGTTCTTATTTAAATTGCATTTTATAAATTGTTCCAATCGCTTATTAAGTATTTTGGCTTTAATTTTTTAAAA